AGTGCTGTTTTAAGTTTTAAAAGCACTAAGAACTTGGGGACTTTTACTTATGTATGTAAACTTCACATATCTATATAACTCCACCCCCCGCCCCGCCCCTAACAGAATGTAAGTTATTTGAGGACAGGGCCTGGTTTTTGTTTTTTGTTTTTTCTATTTGTCTTTGTGTATCCAGAGCCTAGCCTTGCATAAAGTACGCTCTTAATAAATGTCTTCTGAATTGAACTCAATTATACACTGTTGGTTAGTGGCCCCATCTGGTTAGATGGAAATGGGATGACAAGTTCCTAAATCTGATCATCTATGAAGCGAGGACAATGGTTGAAGGCCAAATGGGATACTGCACAGAAAGGCATTTTGTAAACTGAAAGTGCTGAGTAACCCATGGCTAATATGTTGTAAACCTTAAGGCAATATATAAATGCTAGCTAGTTACTGTATTATTGGCATTGTCACCGTCATCATCATGAATCTAGTTCTCATCTTTTTTGGCAGAATTAAAATAGAAAGTCATTGAAATTAATGACAGCAAAGATAATTTCCCACTGTTTTCTAGCCATCAATCGCTTACTACCTAAATATGCAGTGGATAATAATAATAATAGCTAACATTTATACAGTGCTTACTATGTGCCAGGCACTGTGCTAAGTACTTTACAGTTATTGTCTTATTTGATCTTCACAACTATTATGATCCCCATCTTACAGATGTGGAAACTGAGGCAAATAGGGGTTAAGTGACTTGTCCAGGGTCACAAGCTAGCAAGTGTCTGAGGCTGCATTTGAACTCAGATCTTCCTGTCTCCAGGCCCAGCACTCTATCCATTGCACCACCTGGTAACCCACTGTGTACCTAGCTACAGAGTATCAGACTTGGAGTCAGCAGGCTACACAGAGACACTGAGAGGTGTCTGGTTAATGGTCCCCAGTGAAAAATCAGCAAAATGATTGAACTCTCACCTCCAGTCTTACCGACTCTTGGCTCTGACAACCAGGACCCACTGCCTGGTATATCTGGGTTTCAAGCCTGCTGGATTTCCCTGGGTTGGGATGAGTTACAGTGGAGACTGGGACCCATGTACACCAGAATGAGAATTCTATCTTGGATGCTGACTTCCCTGGTGTGTGTGTGTGTGTGTATATGTCTGTGCGTACATGTGTGTATGTGTGTGTATGTGTGTGTGTATGTCTGTGTGTGTGTGTGTGTGTGTGTATGTATGCCTTGAGTAAGTCACATTAACCCCCTCAATGGCTGACTTTTTCAGCTACAAACAGCCATAATGAAAGAACCTTTGGAAGGCTGGGCCTCAGTACATAGTCTCAGAGTCTTTTGAAGTGGAAACATCTTGTTATTAATGGGCTGGTGCCAGGCCAGATGAATTTAGTACCTTTAAATTTTCTTCTATGGGACTGCATCTCATATTAAAACGAGAGTAAATGAATCTGGAAGAATGCACGTGTGACCTGAATAGGGCACACACAAAGTCAGGGAGTAGCACTCACTGGTGTATCTGAGTGGCTCAGGGTTCAGTCATCCTGCTTCTTTTCACGTCTCAGGAAACACAGGAAAAAGGGTATCAAAATCCCTGCCACCTCAGAGGAAACTGGAATGTCCTAGCTAGGCCTGAGTCAGCCTTTCTTGGTAGGTCAAGGGAACAGATTAGATTTGGGAGATCGGTTCCTGCGGTAACCTTCATTTTAGAATTTGTTGTTGCTTTATGTGTGTGTGTGTGTGTGTGTGTGTGTGTGTGTGTGTGTGTTATGGGTATATGTACGTTGGTATTTATACATAAATATGTGTATATACACACTAGAATAAAGAAAAGAAAATGTTTTTAATCATTGTTCTATGACGAGTGGAGCTAAAAAACAAAGGCCTGAAAAGATGGTACTTTTGCCAAGTGTTGCTCCACTTCTGAGTTCTCTGTGTTCTTTCTATCCAGAGGCACTAGGGGTGAGTGGTTGGTTAGCTCCTCTGGAAAGATTGCAGATCTTATTACTTGCTGGGGTTTGCTCCTCCCTTAGTTAGTAACATTTGCTCCTAGGTAACATCTGCAGAAATTTCTATATAAGCAGCACTAGGGACATAGCTAAGCACCAGCTATCATTGCTTATACCATTCATCACTGTTCTACTTCAAATAGGACTTTAAAGGGGAATCTTCATACCAAATGAAGAAGAGGAAAATATAAATATATATATATATAGAGAGAGAGAGAGAGAAAGAGAGAGAGAGAGAGAGAGAGAGAGAGAGAGAGAGAGAAACAGAGACAGAGAAGAGGAGAGAGACACATACAGAAAGAGAGAGAGAAGGAGAGGAGAGGAGAGGAGAGGAGAAAGAGAGAGAGAGATTGAGAGAAGAGGAGAATTTTTCAGACAGACAGACAGGAGACCCTCTTAGGCTAGGGTGTTCCTTTCCTTCTGAGTCAGAGCTGAAGGGGACCCCAGAGGCTTCCTCCAGAGGATGTGGGCTTGCTGGGTTGGGAGTCGGGGAGGATTAGACGAGAAAAGGAAAAACAATACTTCAATTTCCCTCAGAGGCTCCCCCAGGAGGCTACACTCCCTGCCTGAGAAACCCAGAACCCAGATAATGCCAAAATGTTTGAAGCTGGCCAGGCTCCAAGTCGTTTTCCTTCTCAAACTGAGAAGTAGTAGCCTTGCTTCAGGCCAGGTTTCACAAAATAAAAGGCAAAACCACTATCAGCTCTTGGGGTTAAACTCTTCAGTTGGGGGCCTGAGGGCTCATGGAGGTTGAGAATGACAGACTGTCTTTTGAGTTAGAAAGGACCTCAGAGACCATCTACTCTAATGGCGACATTTTACAGATGAGGAAACTTAAGTCCAGAAACGGGAAGGAACTTATCCAAGGTCATACAGTAAGTTAATGAGTAAGTTAGTAAATAGTGAGTTTCTCTCTACTTAGGCAAGTGAAGATCTCAAAGCACCTTCTAACTTCATCTGGGGAGAGGAGCTTTCCCCATTCCCCTTTTGTGTGAAGGAAAAAACAAGATGTAAAATATGTGAATAGCACCCTCCAACTTACTCAGAGTGTTAGTAATAGCACAGAGGCAGTGAGACAGAAAAGAGAGCTCTGGATTTAACATCAGAAATATCTGAGTTTATCTCCTGCCTCAGGCACCACTAGTTTCATGATCCCAGGCAAATCAAAGTCTCTCTAAGCTCAGTTTCCTCATTTGTAAAACAATGATAATAATAGCACCTAACTACCAAGGTTGTTATGACAAGCAACGTTATGACAAGTTGTGACAAGGTAAACCCTTTGTAAACCATAAAGCACTATGTAAAAATGAGGTAGTAACATCTAAATAGAGAAGCCTTGAACAACCAGATTTCCCCTTAGAAACCAGTTCTAGAAACAAATACAAATGCAAGACACATCTTGTTTGAGGAGTGGTAGTGGTACAGTTCTGCTGTGACATCTTCCTAGTGCCTTCCTACCCAGACTGAACCGCCAAAACAGAAGTGACCAAAAGACAAACTTCCTAACCCAGGCACTTGACAGACACAGTTTTAAAAGCCTTTAACATTGCCTACCTAGGTCCTTGGACAAAGGGAAATTAATAACCTTGAGACAGATTCCCAAGTTGTGGGGTCCTGAGTCAACTCCCTAACTCCGATAGAAGCATCCCTTGTGAGATGTGCTGATTTCCACCACAAGTGAAATCCCGAGGTGAGATCCTTGGAGCTTGATAATCAGAGGCACAAAACCAAAGAAGAGAATACCAGTAAGTCTCTTGTTTGTATAGCAGTCTTGTAGAAGTCATTCTCAGCACTGAGTTCCAATGAGCCAATGGCATCTCAAATCATTGAAACAGGAAGCGAGATAAACAACATATTATCAGCAAGGAGATGGAGCTGATTCCCGTATTCCTAGGACGCCAGCCAGCTGAGCCCCGTGAATGTCCTAGCAAAGTCTGCTTTCCCTACCAGCTGATGTTCTTGTATTCAGCTCTGGGGAACAAGGTTCCCTCTTTGCTGGATAAATTGACTCATCTCCCTCCTTCCCCCCAGATTCTTGCTTTCCTCATTTGCTCTGTGTGGGGCTTAGCTGGCTTTTTTTTTTTTTGGCCGCTCTCCCCTTCCCTTCCCAGGATCTAGGTCTGTAGAATGACCCTCTAATAAACTCTACTCCCCAAGAGTTTCCTTTACTCCCAGACAGCAGACACTTGGGGGGTGGGGTGGAAGGGGGCTGGTACCAGAGAGAAAAGCAGCAGAGTAATGATCAGAAACCATTACAGAGAAGCTGAGGCATCAGGGATGTGTCCTTGTCCAACCACAAGGAGGCAAATTCTAAAACAGCCTACAAAGTCACCTGCCCTAGCCCTCTGGCTCTTCCTGTCCCCTCTGTCACAACTAGTCAGCAACTAGTCAGCAAGCTAGAAAAGTTCAGTGCCATTGGGAGCTTCAAGGAGAAAAGTTGTAGCTGTGGGAAGAGTGTGGGAAATATAGTACTCTATATTTTGTGTCTGCCTTTACAGAAACTCAAAATACTTATTTATCTATCAAACCTAAGGTGAAAAGATATAGTCCTAAAGTTGAGGATACGTGCCAATATGGTGTATATATGGTGAGTTTGCTGTCAGGCTTATATCTATAGCTTTCTACGCTTGTTAATTGTCTTTGTCTCTCTGCCTCTTTGTCTCTGTGTCTCTGCATCTGTCTCTGTCTCTCTGTGTCTGTCTCTTTGTCTCTGTCTCTCTCTAACTCTCTCTGTCTCTCTGTCTCTGTCTCTGTCTCCTCCCCGCCCCCTTCCTTTTCTCACTCACCAGTCGGCAAGTCTCTCCCCTCTGCCGAACCGGCCCCTGCCCAACCGGCCCCTGCCCAAGACTGGACATTGCCCATCAGCCGCGGTTGGAACCCCAAGTGTCAGACCTCTCTCATTCTTCCGTCAGCCACCAACCCCAACAAACCAGTGGTGACTCAGACGCCAGGACCTTCTGAGCTCATCGAGTCAGCCAAACGATAGACAAGCCACTCACCGTTCGGGTCTGTCCTCAGGTCCGCTTATGCATGCCGGTGGGAACTGCCCATCTTCCAGAAGCAGATCTCGTTCCCTTCCAGAGCTGCCCCACGATGTACCCTCGCGCCTCACAAAGTTTGTTCAGGGGCTCCCCCTGGCCTCCAGACCCGGCCCCCTGAGCCGAAGTGCGGCGGCAGCTCCTGCCTGCGTCCTCGTCCTCGTCCTCGTCCTCCTCCTCTCCTCTTCCTCTCCGAGCCCTCTCACAGAGCCAGCAGCGGGCTGTGCCTCCACAATGGGTACGGCAGCATCCTGAACAAAGTGCGGTCCCCCGGGATCCCCCGGCAAGGAGGTGGAGCCATGTGACCCGCTGCCCCCGAGGCACACGCCAGCCCTTTATGCTGCTGGCTTAGGGGAGGGGTGGGTGTGCCAGGCCACTGCCGGGATGGGAGGAGATAAAGGGATGGAGGGAGGGAAAGAGGGAGGGAGGAAGGGGACTTCTCTGCTTTGGATCCCCCCCCCCCCCGCCCCGTGCCAGTTTAACCCGCAGAGGGGCGGAGGCATGGGTCCCTTCCAGACTTTGTCATTGGAAAGCTATTCCCAGTAACCCTTTCTTGCCTTCTCCACGCCCCTCCCCACACCCCTCCCCCCTGCCCCAGCTCCCCATCTCTCCTCTCTCTCATAAGTAGAAAGAACAACTCTTTGGTGGTGTGGCTCAGGTTCCTTCCTTGCCAGAGCAGAAAACCTTTACACGAATGAGGTTTTCCTTGGCTCATTGATCCTCCATCTCCTCTTAGTGCCCCTTTCCTTATATCACTAGGTACTTCTTCCTCCTCCTCCCACCCTCAACTCCTATCATGTATGTGATTTTCTTGATTTCCTAGGACAAAATGGGAGAAAAGCCCCAGGATGCTTCCTGCTCCCTTGCTGACCCTTCATAGGATCTTAGATCTAGAGAGGCCATCTAATATGACTTAGACATTTGACAGCTTAGGAAACTGGGTTAAAGGACTTATCCAAGGTCATACAAGTAGTGTCAGGGTTGGGATTTGAACCTTCCACTTCTCCCTCCATCCACAACAACAACAACAAAATCAGAACTGTTTTCAGGTGATTGAGGTTAGTTATCGTGATGCTTTCCCATCTCTTCAGCAGAATGAACTATTGAACTGAGACCTGGTTAGTTAGTCAGCTAGCGTTTATTAAGCACCTACTATGTGCCAGGCACTGTTCTCTGTTCCTCACGCTGCTGCCTTACCTTTAAGCAGAATATCAGGAAAAATATTGGATTGGGAATTAAGACCTAGGCCCTACTCTTGTCACCAGCAACCATGAGGCTTTGGGAAAATCAAAACCTCCCTGAGCTCAGTTTCTTCATCTGAGGTGCTTGGGCTCTTTCAACTCCAACAAGACTCTATAAGTCATCAGAGCCAGAGCTGGAAGTGACTTTACACATCAACCAGTTCAACCCCCTGAGTAAGGAGAATGTGATGTTATTTACCCAAGGTCACCCAAGGCAGTAAGTAGCAGGACTGAGGTGTGAACTGAGGTCTTTCAACTCCAAGGCTGTGTCTGCTATACCTTGCTGCTCCTACCTTGTCCTATCCCCTTCAAGGCTTTTAGAAGTGGGAGAGGAGGTGAAAAATGAATGGTAAGGGGACTGGGAGAGCAAAAATGAATAATGGGGAGAGACTGGAGAACAGAATCAGAGAGTCTTTGAGTTCCAGGGTACCTTAGAGATTATTTGGTTCAACCTCCTACTCAAAGCAGCAATCCCCTTAATAGCATTGGTGACAGCTGGTTATTAAGTTTCTACATGAAGAAAGCAGTGAGAGAAAAAAGGGTAGCCCTTCCCATGGGACATCTCTATAGAGAACTTTGAGTTCCACAGAAGAAAGATGTGGGAAAAAGCCAGGTATTAGCTGGGTCCACAAACCTGGCCATTGGGGATAGAGAATACCAGGGCTCAAGAGCTAGACTTTGATGGTTGTTTGCACACTTGCATGTGTGTATTAGGGGGTGAGTTGGGGAGAATGCCTGAAAAAAATAAGCACGAGGCCCGGAATCAGGAAGATCTGAATTCAAATCTGGTTTCAGACACTTGCTACTTATGTGATCCTGAGCAAGTCACTTAACCCTTATTTGCCTCAGTTTCCTCATCTGTAAAATGGGGATAATAATAGCACCTACCTCCCAGGGTTGTTGTGGGGATCAAATGAGATAATAATTGTAAAAACACTTATTGCAGTGTCTGGCACATATTAAATGATATACAAACATACTGCTATTATTGTTATAATAATAATAATCATTATTATATTCTCTGTGAGTTTTTCAAGCACTTTCTAGGCCAGGTCCTCTTTGAGAATAATGGACAAACAAGGCCAGATTAAGAGTCTGGAGCAGAGCCAGGATGAAAAGCCTGGAGTCCTCACTGCTAATCCCAACCAAGCCACTTGTCCTACTGGAGAGTTGAAAAGATTTGTTTCCAAATAAGAGCATGGTGCTAGAGATGCTGGTTTAGTGGTAGCATGGGCAAAACAAATTGTTCTTCTTTAAAATTAATTTTCACTTAAGAGGAACATTATTTTATGCTTTGTTGTTGTTTTTCCTTGTATAGAGTGAGGGACAAGAAAGAGAAAGGTACAGCAGAGAGGAGCCCCTTATCTTATGATTACAACATCAAAACAAAATGGTCTTAGGTTTGTGGCTCAATGTATAGAGCTCTCGGCCTGGGGTCAGGAAGATTGGAGTTTAAATCCAGCTTCAGACCTCACTGGTTGTGTGACCCTGGGCAAGTCACTTAGTCTACCTTTGCTTCAGTTTCTTCAATTGCAAAATGGGGCCAATGATATCACCTACTATTCAAGACTGTTGTGAGGATCAAATGAGATGATATTTGTAAAGCTCTTAACACAATGCCTGGCACATAGTAGGTACTTAACAAATACTCATTGTCTTCTTTTTTCATAAGTGCCTTTGTCTGTCAATCCAACATTCTCCTTAGCCTTCATTGTCCTCTTTGATACCAGTTTGGCAACCATAATAATCCCACATAATGCTTTCCATATAACATAAGTAGTTTAAATATTATCACCATTTTACAGATAAAGACTCTACAATTTAGATGGTTTAAGGGATTTGCGAATGCATAAGAGCTTAAGATTCAAACCTAGGACTCTAGCTTCCAATATTCTTGGAGTAGATTGCTGCTGCATGGGCAAAGAGAGAGAGGCTCAGATAATATTACATGACCGAGATCCATTCCTTTTCAGCCGCAACTTATTTTGACAAGCCTTGCAGTGACTCTCTAAGAATAGCCTGGAGTCAAATCCTGAAAATGAACAAATCTGGGATAACCAGATTGGCCAAAAGGGACGTAGATAATAGGGATTATAGTCAGGGTGCTCAGTACTAAGCCTGGATGGTACCATTGATAAAGAATGGGTATAGATCCCCTCCCATTTTATGCCTCAGTTTCTGCTTTTGTAACCCTGGGATCATACTCTTTAATATATAATAAAAACTCACATTTATGTAGTACTTCAGGATTTACCAAGAGCTCTAGGAGACGATAAGTACAAATAAACTTATCTATCAGACATCAGAGAAATTAAGCATTCTCTCTAGCTAGACTGTGCTAAGGTTCTCCATCCTTCAAGAGGACCACTGTCTTCCACTATTTGAACATGACCAATCACTTCTATCCCTTCTGACTCCATCCTCCATCATGCTCTGCATACACCAATCATGAACCATTGACAGTAAACAAATAATAATAAAAACATTTAAGAGCAACTGGTTAGATGAGTGAATGTGGTTGGTAGGAGAGAAAATAGATGAGTGAATGGATAGGGAGAAAAGGTGAAGATAATAATAATATGATTCATAGCTAGCATTTACATCACTACTATACAGTTACTATAGTCTACTTTATGCCAGACACTGTGGTAAGCATTTTACAAATATTCCCACATTTGTTCCTCACAACAACCTTGATTATTACCCTCATTTTACCAGTGTGGAAACTGAGGCAGACAGGGGTTAAGTGACTTGCCTGGGGTCACACAGCTAGTGAGTGTATGAGGCCGGACCTCAAGCCCAAAGATCTATCCATTGTGCCATGTGAAAAAATTCCTAGGCTGGGAGTTAGTAGGAGTGGGTTTTAGCCCTGGATCTCCCACTAACTCATGGTGTGACCTTGCCTCATTGTTATTATTCAGTCATTTCAGTCACGTCTGACTCTTCCTGACCCCATTTGGTGTTTTCTTGGCAGAGATACTGAAGTGGTTTGTCATTTCCTTTATTTTACAGATGAGGAAACTGAGGCAAACAGGGTTAAGTGACTTGCCCAGGGTCACACAGCTAGTAGGTGTCTGAGGCCATATTTTAACTCAGAAAGAAGAATCTTCCTGACTTCAGGCCCAGCGCTCTATCCATTGTACCACCTAGCTGCCTATGACCTTGGCTAGGTCACTTCATCTCTCTAGACCTCAGTTTGAGAGGGTTCGACTACATGATCTGTTAAAAATGTCTTTTCACTCTAAGTTCCTGTGTTCCTTGAGTGAATAGCTAGGTAGCTGACAGAGTAAGCAGGAGAAAAGAGGGGTGACTAGTGAAGTGACCCCAACATCCTGCTGACTCATTTACTGATTCTTGAACATAGTGAGTAAAAGTTTATTTTGATTCAGGCTGAACTTGGCTTGGAAACAGAGGCCCAGGAAGGAGAGATGACCCTTGGCCCAAATTACTGCAGCATGAGTGGGTAGGATTTTTTGTTGTTTTTTCTTTTTCCTTCTTTCTTTCTTTTTTTTTAACTTAAGCACAGCAGAGATGACTCAGTGGTTTTGAATGAGGCAAATGGGTTTTCTTTAAATATGAAAATCAATAAGCGATGAACTCAGAGCCCTGCCTGAGACTATAGTCACTAAGGGAGGAGGAAGAGGAGGAGGAGGAGGAGGAGGAGAAGAGTATGGTGGGAAGGGACCTTGATGAGGTTATCCTTTGCCTGGGAGATAGAATTGAATAGTAAATAATAAAAAGAGTGACAGCAGGGTACAGAATGACATGACCCACTGGTGCCATGACAGGAGAGCCCCAGCAGGGAGAAGCCAGGCTAATCTTCCCTCCAAGGCCCCTCAGGGCCTTGTCATT